ATCAGAATCCACAATTCTCCAGTGTTTGTTACAGGGAAACTGTATTCCCCATGCACACCGTGTCAGCAAACTTCCAGGTGACATGATGAGCATGCCCACAGAGGAGATGAGATCATGGAGTCCTGAGCCTTTTTCTTGGGGATCCGTGGCTGAGCATACATGCTGTGACCACTGCCTCTGCTTCTCTGTCCTGACAGCCAATTCCTACTGGGTAAGCAGCTATTCTTTTCAGGCAAGTAACAGTGGTTAATGTAACTCATCAAGAAAGTGCAGAAATAACTTCTCTGAAAATGTGTGTGTTGTGTGAGGTTACATTGAGACAAATGTCTTGTATTTTAGGAAAAAATGTTTGGTGAAAATCACAGGCCTCTCTCCTGCATCAGTTGGCGATTTTGATGCAGCTCCACATTGCTTTGTATCCTGGGACCATACAGCTTTGTATGTTCAGGGGTAGAGCATTCTTTAGTCAAATGATCTGATACACCTCTGTATACTTTCTGTCATGAGTAATGTCTCAATGTGATTTACATTTACATTTAATGTAATCACATATTATTTGAAGATACACATTGGAAGAGATTTGTCAAGGAATAACCTGTGACATGACTATTTACGATATGAATGTAAGAGGCTTGTTGATATTAATTTTAATGCCTTGGCTTGTCATTCCCATTCCCACCAATTTCCTCAGTTTGTTCCCTCTCCATCTGCCTTCTCTTATTGTTCTTGCACTCATACTTCTTATTATTTTGTCAGTCACGAAGTTGTACTCAGAGCCTGGGCTCTGTCCCTGCGCCATTTTAATAAAGCCTAGTGCTCTACCATTTGAGACACAGTGCCACTTCAGTGTTCCTGGTGGTTATTGGGAAATAAGTGTCTCCTGGAGTTTGGTGGCTTCAATGTTTGATCCACAGGTCTCAGTCTTCTGAGTTACTAGGATTATACATATGAGTGCCTGGTTTAGGAGATTCTTTTCTAACTGAAAACTTTTAACCAGAAACTCTATTTCATGGGCAAATTAGTATGTACACGAGTAAGAGGCCCTTAGTATATGCTTTTCTGCATCCTTTAGAATTGTTTAGGAGCAGAGAGACTGAGAGTCCTAGTTGTCCATGAGTCACTGAAGAACCTGGAGCATTCAAACACCACAGTGCTGTGGGATGTGCAGTTGAAAGCCTTAAACTGAGGGCCTCCATCTCTTGCTTATGTTTTCACTCAAGGCTGCAGTTCTATCAGTTGAGACACACTTCCACTTCTGGAAGAAGAGATGTCCAAAGCCGACATTGAAATGAGGGTTGCCTTCCTCACACAGACTGGAGCTGGAGTCCTGGGGAACTCCTGTCTCCTTTGTTTTTACAGCTACACCCTCCTCACTAGACAGAAGGTGAGGCTTACAGACCCCATCCTCTGCCATCTGGTCTTTGCAAACTACGTGGTTGTTTTATCAACTGGGATTCCTGAGACGATGGCAGGAATTGGAGGGAAGTACTTTCTCGATGATGCCGCATGTAAAGTTGCTTTGTATTTCCGCAGAGTAGCCAGAGGGGTTTCTCTTAACACCACCTGCCTTCTGAGTGGTTTCCAGGTCTCAAAGCTTTGCACTAGAAATGTTTGGTGGAAGATCACTACTACATTCCCTAACTGCTTTGGAATCTGTGGTTTCCTTTTCTGGATTCTGCAGGTCCTGGTAAATGTTTATGTGCCTCTGAGAGTAATTGGCCCAACACACAGGCAAAATGTCACTCTGCACATGCATTATAAATACTGCTCCATAGGACCAACTTCACCAAAACCATTTGTATATTTATCACAAATAGTCTTATTCCTTTCCATTGATATTATGTGCTTGGTTTTCATGATGTGGACCAGTGGCTCCATGGTCCTTGTCCTGCACAGACACAAGCAGAGGGTCCAGCACATTCACAGCCACATTGCCTCTCGAAGACCTGACCATGAGGCCAGGGCCACACGTACCATCCTTACCCTGGTGAGCATGTTCGTCTCCTTCTACTGCCTCTCTGCCATGTTCACTCTTTGTGTTGGTTTACATATGAAACCAGACCTGTGGCTGGTGGACATGTCTGTGTTCCTGGATGCATGTTTCTCAGTACTCAGCCCTTTTGTGCTCATGAGCACTGACACTCGTATCACTCAGGTGTTTCATTCCTGCATTGAATAAAAGATTTTCATGATTCGTTCAAACCAACCCATTACATTCAATTTTACAATTGGTTCATAGTTTTATTTTTGCAGCAGTGGCATTTACACACTATACTCTGCACTGCTATGGTAGGGGCTCTACTACTAGAGACCTGGTCTTGTCCTTTTTCACTGTGGTTATTTTTGAGCTATATCATTACTTTATACCAAGTCAGACTGCATCCTCATACTCCTATTGTGTGTTTCCTGAAGTACCTGGGATGATAGATGTGAACAGAGACCCTGAAATTTCACTTTTTAGATAGAGTCTTAGGGAATTGTTTTTTCCCCAGGTTGACCTATCACTACAACATCCCATTCTCAGCCTTACAGATGGCTGGGATATCTGGTGTACACAAACACACCCAGCTAGTATTGGAGGGGGAATCCTGTGAACACTCTTCCTGGGCTGGCCTTGGATCTGAATCCTTCTGATTGAACCTTGCATCTGTGAGCCACTGTATCCAACTTGGATCAGTCTTTGAGCAATATTATCATCATCATCATTATTATTGTTGTTGTTGTTGTTAGATGTGGGGCTTGTACTCTGGGGTTGGACACTTTCCCAGAGCTCTTTTGCTCAAAGATAGCACTGTACGTATTTGGCCCACAGTACCACTTCAGATGTTGTCTGAGTAGTTTACTGGAGAGAGGAGTGTCATGGACTTTCCTGCCAGGTGGCTTCCAATTCTAATCATCAGATCTCAGCCTCCTAAGTAGCTGGGATTACAGGTCTGAGCCCCCAGAGCCTGACATAAATTTTTATCTTTGAAGTTATAAAATGAGTGTATAATAGAAGGTGTTATGTAACAATCTGTGTGAAACTGACTGAAAGCAGACTATGGGAGTATCTCAGCGGTGAAGGTCCTGCCTATGCAGGTCCTGCCTGAATCTCAAATAAAATGAAGTTATAGAAAATTTCAATGTAGTTCATGTGGCCTAATTATCTTTTATTGTTAGTTCACTAAACAAGTATTGCATAAGGTACAATTGCTAATTTACAGTAACTGAGATACCAGAAGATGAATGTTTTCACCATATTATGCAGGAATTGCATTATATTTCTTCATGATGTCATGAATTGTGCTGAGTATGTGTAATGAGTAGAAGTATTAAACTTGGAAATAAAGTTCAATACTTAGCACAAAAATAAAATGTTATTACTTATTGGTTTGTCACATAGGCTCCTGAAAATATATTACCTTGAAGCATATATAGATCCAGCATCTTCAGGTAAGAAGAGTGTTCTAGAAAGGTCTCTCCTCTGCATCATGGGTATTTCAGAAGTCTGAAGACATCCCCCATACTTGACCTGGAGCAGGAGACATGGTGTCAGGTCAAGCAGAAAACCTATGTCACTGCGGGTTCATAAATATAAGCCAGGACCAGCCCAGAATTTCATTCATGTCCTAAAAATTATGACAGACTCAGTGTGAGACCTAGCCTCATGCAGTCATCCTGAAGATGATTTAGTCAATGTTCAAGTAAAATGTACATTGCATTTGACAAAGTTTCACAAGGTTTAGTTTTATTAAATTACTATAATCTGTTATTAAAATATATATAATTTTATTCTGGTGATTCAAATATAGGTAAACAACTGTGTGTGATAGTGTGTGTGTTTGTGAGTGTCTGTGGGATTGTCTGTGTTGGGAGGCTTTATACTACAGATACAATCTCTTCTTCGGTTATTCAGATTTCCTGCTATTTCTTGATTCAATTTTTCTTTTCTTGGTCCTTTTTTTCTCTTGTCCTGGTGCTTGAACTGAGGTCATGTGTATGTCGCTGAGCTTTGCTGGATCAAGACTAGTGCTCTACCACTTGAACCATAGCACAACTTTTGGTCTTTTCTGAGTACTTTGTTGGAGATAAGAATCTGATGGATTTCTTGTCATGGCTGGTTTCCAACAGCAATCTTCAGATCTCAGCCTCCTGAGTAGCTACATTAAATGCATGTGTCAACAATGTCTGCTTCCTTGAGTCAATTTTGTCAGAGGTAGTGTTCCTAGATATTTTAACATTCCTAATTATATGTAATTGTTAGAATCCATTCCCTCTCTCTGTGTGTGTGTGTGTGTGTGTGTACCCATCTGTCTGTCTTTCTTTCTTTTTCATTTTCTGCAGGCACAAGTACATGAATTCAGAGCCTCTGGTAGTTTAAACTGCTTACTCTGCTGGTCTTCTACCACTTTTGCCATGAGTCCAACCTTGGACTTTGTTCCTGTCTTTTATTCTGTTTTTTTTTTGTTGGGCCATTCAAGGGGTTTGAACTCAGGGCCTGGGTGCTGTCCCTGAGCTTTTCTGATCAAGGCTAGCTCTTTACGATCTGAGCCTCAGCTTCACTACCAGCTTTTCTGTGGTTATTTTGAAGTAAGAGTCTCACAGGCTTTTCTGCCTGGTCTGGCTTCAAACACTGATCCTCAGACCTCAGTTTCCATGTAACTAAGATTACAGACATTAGCAACCTGTGCCCAGTTGTATGCTATTTTGGAGATGGAGTCTTGTGGACTTTTGTGCTTGTTCTCCTAATCTCAGCCTCCTGAGAGCTAAAATAATAAAATTGGGCCACCTTTCCTGCCTCTGTTTTGCATTTCTACAGGTCAGGAATCATGTGTGTACTTCCATTTCTGGTTCAGTAATTGGAATGTTCTGGTTTTTCCTTTGCCAATCCAAGTAAAAGTTTTGTACAATTCTTTGGTGGTCTTTTCAAACACCCAACATTGGGGTTCACTGACTTTTCTTTCTTCCTTTCTTTTTTTAACATCAGTCCTGGGTCTTTAACTCTGGTCCTGGACATTGTCCCTGAGCTCTTCAGCTCAATGTGAGTGCTCTACCACTTGAGCCACCATGCAGCTTTCTGTTTTCTGGTTGATAATTCAAGAGTAGCATCTCATGGACTTTCCTGCCTGTGTGGCTTTGAACTGCAATCCTCAGACAGCCTCTACAGTATCTAGCATTACAGGGATAAGCCACCACTGCTCAGCTCACTGACTTTTCTATTTCTCTTTTTATAACTTGCATTTACACTTATGCTATTCTTCTTTGCTTTCATATTGTGTTTGCCTTGCTATTATTTTCTTTCTCTGTAAGGAATGATGATAGGTGGAAATTTTTGGGTCTTTCCCTTTTGTAAGGTCATTGAAGTTTGCCTCTCAGAACAGACTTGGTTTCTATCTTCATTTACAAATGTGCCTTAGATTTAGGCGATATGGACATGCTGTGTTCAGAGGAAGAGTGGCATTTAAGGTTTCTATATTCTCTATCTCTGAAGGTCAAAATGGCTGGAATAAATGAACATGTGGATAGTTTATGAAGGTCATGTGTAAACATTAAAAAGACTGCTGTAAAACACATCTCTGAGCCTTGATAATTTAAGCATTATTAACCATCATATAGTACATTGTATTTCCACTTGGGATATTCCCCTTTTCTCCCCACCAGTGTGTCCTGAAGCTTGAACTTAGCCCCTGGACACTAGTCCTGAGCCTCTTTGTGCTCATGGTTGGTGCTCAACCACTAGAGCCATAGTGAACTTACAGCATTGTCTGGGTAGTTTTTTGTTTTGTTTTTGTTGGTCCTGGGGCTTGAACTCAGGGACTGGGACTCACCTCAATGCTAGCACTCTATCACTGAGCAAAGCTCAACTTCTAGTTTTCTAGTAGTGCATTAGAGGTGATAGTCTCATGGACTTTCTTGCCCAGGGTGGATTTGAAATGTGATGCTCAGATCTCAATCTCCTGAGTATCGAGGATTACAGGCATGACCCACCAGCACCCAGCTTGACAGAATGTTTTTAGACATAATAGTCTTGGACTATTTTTCCTGGGATGGCTTCAAATTGCAGTCCTCAGATCACAGCTTCCTGAATAGCTTGGATTATAAGCAAAAGCCACCAGTGCCCAGCTTTTATATTTTATATTTTTATTTTTTGTGGTCCGGTCTTGGAACCTGAACTCTGGACCTGGGTGCTGTCCCTCAGCTATTCAGCTCAAGGCTAACGCTCTACCACTTGAGCCACAGTGGCACTTCTGGCTTTTTTCTTTATGTGGTGCTGAGGAATCGAACCCAGGACCTCAGGCATGCAAGGCAAGTGCTCTACCACTGAGCCACCTTCCCAGTCCCTATTTTTTTTATCTTTTTAACATTGGTTTTCTAAAGAAAAAAACCACATCTTAGAGACCAAAGGGAAAAAAATCACCCTAAAGTTCATGAAAGTCATTTGCTCAGTTTCACCCTTTTATTTTTTTTATTTTTTATTTTTACTGTGAAAATACTGGATAGAAGGGTTACAATTACATGGGCAAGATAATGAGTACATTTCTTATGAAGCATTGTTCCCTCCTCTTTGTTTCCCCTTCCCAACCCTTCCCATACCCCCCTCCCACACTCCCAACTAAATCTACCCCCCCAAAGTTGTAAACTTCATTTTTGGATATAATGGCTTGTAAATCTCATTGTTGCAACGGATCCACCTAAATCCCTATTTAAATGATTTGTTTTTTACCTTGCCCTCCACAAATTATACCAACATCAAATACAGTGAAAGCAGGGGTTATACCATGGGGGAAGGACATACAAAACAACAAAGAAAATATCTAATAAATATGTTAGAAACAATAGCAAGAAAAGAAAAAAACATTTGAATACTAATCTTGGGGTTCATTTTCTTAACATCAACTTATCTGACCTTTTCTGCTTGACTCAGAAATACACTGCTTATTGCAAGTAAGGGAAACCATGGGACCTATGTTTCTTTGGGACTGGCTTACTTCACTTAATATATTTTTTCCAAGTCTTTCCATTTCCTAACAAATGAGGCAATGTCATTCTTTCTGATGGAGACATAGAATTACATTGTGTATATATACTGCATTTTCTCGATCCATTCATCTATAGAGGTACCTCTGGGTTGAAAGAAGGATGACCAATAGACACATGAAAAACTGCTCAACCTCTCTAACCATAAAAGCAATGCAAATC